AATATGTGTAAAATGTATCTTTGTCATTTGCATAGTCCATTCTTCACTTCAGCCAGTAACTACAGCTGGCTCACATCCATTATTTTTCTTTTCTTACTGCTGAACTGGAGGACAATCATAGGAGCCCTTCCAGCTCTCTGCCGATGTATCCCAGTCTCCTTCTATTCCGGAATTTCACTTCTGCTTTACTATCTGAAAACCATACAACTCCCAGATGTATCTATCTGGCACAACTGACGCTCATCATCTAATGAGAAATGGCTGACTTTTTTATTCCCTATCAAAACCAGCATATTTAGCAAAAGAAGCTTCCCTAAAGCTGAACAAATAACTAATACTCTATCTGAAAAAACGTGCTGTTATTTTACAGTGATCCTCAGGAATCATCACACCAGATTTTCAGTTTCACCCCATTTATTCAAACTGTTTTATGTACTAGCTAATATCTCCCATCTGTGACTCACACTCATTCAGCACTACATTATTTCTTAAGATTTGTTGCAAATAAATCCCACCTCAGATAACAGCTGTAGTACAGCAGAAGAAATGGTTCTATGGTTATGTCAAACAGACACTTAACACTGAAAACACACTATAAACCTGTATCCACAGTGGAAAGATTTGTAGCTCATCAAAAGCATGAATTCAGCTTTCAAGCTCAAATTTTCTCAGATTTGTCTAAGATCAGGGGGTAAAATCCTGCCTCTTCAAGAAATATTGCAAGAATACAAAATGTAGCCAGTACTCAACCACTGAATGAGTATGCAACATGATTAACGAAACCTGCTGGTTTTCAGAACTATTTTATGTAGTTAGTACTTACTCATCCCAGACTTCAAAGGAATGGAAACCCTATATTTACTTTCCAAGAGTTTCAAGACATCTATAACTCCTTTCATTTGTATCTCTACCAAGTCCAGTGAGGAAATGATGGGAATGTGGCAAGGCAGAAGACACTGTAGTAAATCCTAAGTCCTAACAAGAAAACACCACTGCCACCAATACACTAAAGAGACTGAAGGGTGAAGAGTGGCAATGGGTACAGCCTTTAGAAGTTTTTCCATTATTTACAAACATTACTTTGTACAGTCCAAGTAAAAATCATCCCTAAATTGCTTCCTTTCATGAACAAAAAGTAACTTGAAACTTTCAATTCCACTTTAAAAAAGAAAAAAAGAATAGCTTATTTGATGAAACCATAATTATACACATGCTTCATTTATTTAGCTATTTGTTCATTTAAAGCTATATACAAGAAAGTTTGCTCATATTATCTTGTATTGACACCACTGTAATTTACTCAGCTATAACAGTATTAGACTTTCAAAGATCAAGACTAACCAAGATTAAGATTCAGAATGCTTCCTGGAGTGGAAGTTCTTTCGTTCTTAGCAGAAATTGGTGTTGAAGCTTGAGGAGAGAAAGGTTTGGGGCTGCCTGACAAGCTCCCTGCTTGACCCGTTCTTGTTGGTGCTGGAGAAGCTGAAAAAGCACAAAATTAACAAAGACAGATTTAAAATAATCAGAATGGAGACACTCACTGGGACAAAACAGCTTTTAAATCCTGTAGGAACACGCAGGGGAAAGGATTTTGTTTAGTAATTTAACTTTGTATTATTACTCCCTTATAAGTGGTAATTATTGCTTTAATACTAGTTTAATAGAAAAAAAATGTACTGAGAATAATTTTATTGCAGCTTCTTTGTAAATCCAGATGTGTGTTGACCCTGAAAAACACTCTTAAAAGTTACTGAGAGTTTCCAAGCCTTTGAGATTTGGTTATTTTAAATATTAATAAATTCCTGACACCCTGAATTGGCACCTTTTTATTTCATGTATGTGGATAAATATTAAAAAACCTCACCTACTCCAGTTTCTAGATACTTTAACAGAGAATTAAAAGCACAAATAACAGCAAGTTTCATGATAACAGCTCAAGACCAGTGACCACGTCTCTCAGATAGGGTAATGGAATATTCCTAAATACACACACAGGATAAGGAAAGGTTTTCAAAATATCCATGAAGCAATGCTTAAAAAACACGACCTCCGATCCGCCAGGCAGGCTACAAAAAGAAGCATCTGTAGGCTGTTACCTTTAAAAAAAAATCCTTTCTGCCAGCAAGACTCATTTCTGTCTGTTTAATCTCAGCCTAATGCTTTGAGCATGTCATCTTAAACTCACTGCTGAACTCTTGCTCTTTCCTAGTAAATATAAAGCATCGTCTATGTATTTCCAGATACCTAACAGGGAGCTGTTATCTGCTGTTTCTGTAACTATTTCCAAGCTATTTTCTTCCTTTCACTCACACAACAGACATCGAAACCTACCAATAGCACCGTATTCAAATGTTGAAGTGTAGGGCAGTGACACTTTTTTTTTAATACACAATCAAGAAGTAATTTCATTTTAATTTTACTCAAAACCCACAGATTCCAGTGCTGAGGCAACTGAGTTTAAATATAATGTAAGTACTGCAAAAGTTAGCATGTATAAAGCAATATTCAGGTAGAAATGCCAGGTGAGAATTAGCTTACTGCTGTCAAGCCAAACCCAGCACTTCCATGTTCTACGTAAAAGTGTCACTAAGGCCTCACAAAAAGTCACAATAAATCCCCAGAATTACCATGACAGTCAAGAAGCCAAAGAATAGGTAATAGCTACCATGTTCTCTTAACTTTAATATGTATTTCCAGGATTCTCTCTACTACGACAAAGAAATAACAATTTACATTTTAGGACAAGTAAACACTACTTAGCAGCTAAATCTTACATACGAAAGCACACATAAGCTCACAATAATTTGTCTATAAAATGGTATAAATTGGAAGAGTTTTTTCTGACATAAGTCTAGAGATTCTCTTTGTTACATGAAAATTTTGATGATTGTTGATAGAAATCACTCCTACTGAGTTGGTATTCTCTAGTAGAGAAATCCATGTATTTTGATATATTTAAATTCATTACAGTTACTGTGATATTACTTTCATAAAAGAATAAAAAGAATAAAAAGTTCTGAATGCAAATTTCATACCACAAGACACTTTTTGTGCCCGAAGTTAGTGGACAGAGGCCCAACTGGATTTTTGTGTTTGTCTGTTTTTAAGAAGCAATTATGTAACACTGAAGCTCAAAGGAATAAGCACAACAGTTTTATTATGCATTTTTTTAACATTAGACTTGTCCAAAGGTACCTGTATTTTGGTTCTGATTTGTCTAGCTGCACTACTGACCTCAAAAGCAAAAGTCAACTATATCTCAAGCTGTTTCTGATCTTTCCCTTTCACATGCATCCGTACAGAAACTATACTGTTGGTCCTACACAGAAACTGAACAAATTGGTCCATGTTCCTATTGTAAGACACCACCTCCCTAAAAAGGTACATCCACTAGTTTGAAGAAGTCTTCTACGATTTCCATGGAGATTACTTTAATATTAAACTGTCTAAAACAAAAACTTCTAAGAAAAAAGAAAAGGGAGTGCTCTGAAGAGTTACACAAAAGGAAAAAGAAAAGAAGTATGTCATGGCTTGATTCTTCTTTGGGTTACAATTTCAAATAATAAGAACTGGAAATAAATTCTGTAATTTTTTTCACATCAAACAAGGTTTAATTTAGGAAACTTTTGCTCACTCTCATGCAAGTCAAACTATTTTTTCCAGATTTGAGATTTTTATATATATTTAGATGTACCCTTTACATGTGGTTTTAAAAGTTTCCTCTATCAATTCGCAAAGTCAAAAACTTTGACTGACAAAAGCTGTAAGAAAACTATTGGTTATCACAATTCAAAATATATGCAACAAAAAAGAATGTTCAGTTTGAAGCAATTATTTGGAACTAAACTATCTATTAGGCAGAGTTAGCAAAAGTTTATCTTCGATTAATTTTAAATGCTTTAGCAAAAAAATAAACAAAACACAAACGCAGTATTGTCTTTAAAAAATACAATTAACAACAGACTGATTTCGCTTGCTTTACAAAAAATACTTTTATCCAAAAATAAAGTCTTATTAACAGTTACATTAATTATTATATCACTTCTTTTCAGAAGTGGATGGTCATTATTTTATGCACAACAAACGTATGGCCCACTTGGATAAAGAGATTTGCCTGAACGTCACAAAATTAGCCAGCAGCTGATTTGGACTACATTGTTGGTCCTTTTTCCTCTTTACCACTGTGTAAACTGTAGTTCTACCATATTTTAGCTCTCAGTAAGTACCACATAGGGGAACAACCTGTAAGCTCATGGTCTTCAAAAATGACTATTCAGTTAAACAGTGAATAGAACACTCCTAATTATGGTAGGACAAACGTTTTAATATCTATTTCCAGTCTCCATTTACTTTAACAGTTACAATTATTTCCTCCCATTTAAACTAGAGGTTATGGGTCATCATTCAAGATTATTTATTCCTACAGCAGAAAGCACAGCTATTTCTTATGTGTGAAACTGAAAGTTGAGTTTGCCTTTTTTTTTTTCTAAAATTTCTTTGGAAAATGATTAATAGCAATATCTGTCTTTAAAAAATATATTTAATAAAACCAGTTCATTAACCAAATGTAGTCAGGCCTCCCCTTTTACCTGTATTTTTGTCAATAAAGTCCATGGATTCTTCACTTGCGCTAAAATGGCTGGATGTTGCTTTTTTCTCTGCATCCTGTTCAACATCAGACCCGGTGTGGACTGATGAGTTTGTGCTCATGGGTGACCGTGGCATATCTGTCAATGAAATCCTGCGACCGGTACTGCTGCTCAGCATGGGCTTGCTCATTAGAATCTTGGGCGATGCCGTCATGTCAAAGTTGAGTTTGATTTTCTCTTGTTTGTCTGTCTTTGCAGTTCCAGCTGTTGGGTTTGCAGGGTCTAATAACATTTGGTATTGATTGTTGGGAGTATATGGTGTCCGGAAAGGTGCGTAGTTAAATACCCCAAACTTTCTTCGTATGTTATCAACATAAACCTCCATCTCTTGCATTGCACTGTTGAAGATGCTTTTCGTCTTTTTCACAGAAAAAGGTATTTCTTTAGACATGAGGTAGCAATTATTTATTGGAACCCAGGCCCTATGTATAAAACGGAAAGATAAGCAAATTTAATATTAATGACTTGACATTGTTAACTTTTCTGCACATACTTTTTTTTTATCCTAACCCGAAGGATATGCACACATTCAATTCTTTTAAAGGACATTCAAGTCTTTGGTTTTATTTTAATAACTCATTGCTTAGTCTTGGTAAACATATAAACTACATGTCTTTAATGACCAGCAGCTTACTACTTCTGCTCCAGTAATACAAAATGAAAGAACACTGGTCAAAAGTGACAAGACACAACTAATCAGAATATTCTGCACAACTGCACGACCACCACTACTAAACAATCTTTCAATTCAGATGTATTAGTTCACAGAAAAACAGAAAAAGCTGACTTTCTAAAGATATTTTTCAAAACTTGCAAGTTTTATTTTTACAATCCATGCCAGAGTAACCAAGCTCCACAACACTAAGAAATTTTTTATCATCCAATTTTGGATGGATTTTTTTTTTCAGTCAGATTCTAAAACTCTAAATTCATGTTAAAAAAAAATCAGGAACTCTGATCTAAATGTATCATGGCCATATATAGTCTCAAAGTACATGTTTGAATAACTGTATAGATTCATGCTTTTGATTCATGATAAATGAATTAGTATTCACCATGACTACTTCAATTTAAGCGGAGGGTTGACAAGTACAGAAAATACAGACTCCTCTTTAGAGTAAAGCTGGCACTTGCAACAAAGATTACATTATTGACTAATATTTCATTTTTACAAATAAAATTCCCTGTAGCACAAAACCATGATCACAGGAAGTAATGTGCATAAATATCAACTAAATGTTTAAATATGTTTTCTATCGTGTCTTGAAAAATTTATTCTAAAAAGGCAAACAAATAAAGAGGTAAACTAAAGAATGAATTAACATAGCTTATTTGATATAAAATGTTTAATTATGAGATTATACATGTGCAAAACCATCAAAAACTAGTACTGTACTAGTACAGAGTACTAAATTACAGTTTCTTAAGCATAAAGATATCCTTTGGTTAAATTCCCACCTGTCATGTTGGCCAAAGAAACGGGCATCAACTTGCCCGTCTTTATCCCTCAGTGCTTTAGCAGGCCAGAATGGAAAGCCTTTGAGTTTAGCCCAGACCAAAGGGTGAGGATTGCTCTGGAGGAAGACACAAATATACACTAAGAAAGCAAACATAGTTTTAACTTCAAAAATGAGGTGATTTTTAAAAATTTGTATGTATTACTTGAATCAAGACACAACAGATGCAAAGCATTTCTCAAATACAAGACATTTTTAATTTATACATTATCTATATTTAATATATAGAGGGAGGAAAAAAATTCTAAAATATTCACATAGTATCTCAAATAAACACATCCTAACAACACTTTTTATTTTTACTTAGTCCCCCAATTTTTTAAAAATTTAACCTAAATTTGGCCTAATCTTTCAAAATTTTTAATTTCTACTTAAGTACAACATGATTGGATAGATTCTGTTTTCTGATTGGATACACTTCTGTTTAAGAATTTTAAGAAGCCTTTCCAAGTCTGGCACATTATTAAGATCAAGCAGCCCCTTAGTAGGTCATAAAACAGAATAAAGTCTAAATTCTCAGATCCACACCTACAGAAACAGACATTCATATTTCACCACTCTTATCCTAAGTACCACCTACAAACCCAGGAGTAGCTACCTTACATCTGAAGGCAGAAACTGACAACTGGTTTTTGACATCCTCTGCACACAGTCATTTCTGACTGAATTGATGGCTTTCACAGAGCGAGTACTCTGACAGCTGAACATGTTGAGAGGCTCTCTGAACTCCCCAAAGTGAACAATTTGATGCCACTTGCAAACTAGAGCAATTTTTCTTAACTCAGTAACCACCACAGCTTTAAAACAATGGAGGGATAACAAATGGGATTCAAATGGAAGCTTGTTTAATGTATTAGCTAGTCTACCATACTCTAACTTACACAAGGCTCACAAAACCAATTCTCTCGTTTTTGGCAAGCAGCTAAATAACATTCCGGACATACTTCAATTTCATTCATCTGAAAAGAAAAAAACAGTTATTGAAGAGCTTATGCACAGTCAAAGGCATGATCAATTAGTATTATCGTAGCCTGTTCAGATTACTGACATCGATTTTCCACACACTCGGGGCCACAGATAGACCTCTACAGAGTTTTACTTCCTGGGAAATCCACGGGGTTCTGAGTGACACCCATCTGTTTCTACATGAGGTGTGTATTCCAGTTTGTAAATCAGTAACATTTTTACACCCCTCTTCAGACTATACTCTGCCATTTATGACAGTGATAAAAATAAAAATACATCCTTACTTTGATACTGTGTTTATTCCTGCGACAAAAATATAACCTCACTTTGGGCATTTAATTCCATAAAAATTTGTGCAGCATCGAAAACAGCTTATTCTTCATGCTCATATTATATAAATTGGTTAAGAAATTGAGCTCTAGTTATATTTTTAATTTGCACTATTAAAACAGAGATATTTCATAATTTATGTGAATCATGGTCAGGAAAGCATTTTGCATAAATAGAAAGGGTCAGATCATCAGCTAACTCACATCAATGAAATATAATTCAAAAAAACTACACTTAGAATTGCACTTTTTCTATAAAATAAAGTATGGATTATCACTGAATGAAAATCAGCACTGCAAAGGATCAGTTAAAAACAGATTCAGTCATTTTTGTATTCAGTAATAGGACTTTGCATATTGTTGCAGCAAATGAACCACCGAAAATGCATCTAGGAATCAGAAGATCTAAGCCTATATTTCGTTCAAATATATGGAATAGAATTATTTAAAAATACAGATAGAACAAATAAGTTGACTGGGATACACATACCTCATGCTCACAGATTTTGATGATAACTTTTGCCGTTTGTGTCAACTTGTGATTTCCTGAGGTCACAAGAAAAAAAAATCATCAAGAGAATTATGTTAAAACTACAAAAACATCAATTTGTTTAAAAAGATTTACATTAAAGACAAAAAGAGAATATTTGAAAAGATAATTTAAAAGAAAAATGTATTAAAGTAATTGGTAGGTCCATCCACAGTAACTAATCTTTAAATGTCACTTTTTAAGCCTTCTAGTGCAGCCTGCTCATCGCTGCTATGCTCCTAAGGGACCAACATGTTGGAATCATTCATTTCCTCAGTTAATTTTCCTAAAGCACTGCACGATGTGAAACACTTAAATAATCCGTATTTTCTATGTGAATTTTTTTAAGGTGGAATGAGCAAGTGATGGCACAAACAGTATTTTGTCCAACAGATACGTATAAGCCAGTTGCTAAGAAATTCACCTGTGCTTAACAGCTACAGTAGATAATAGGAAGATAATTTCAGCTAACTGGATATCTACAAGTTGCTCTATGACTATACCGATTCTGAAGTTTTATACACCAGGAAATAAGTTCATAACAATATTTACCTCCATTGTAAATAATGCAGTTGTGCAAAATCCATTTGGCATCAGCCAAAAATGCTTCAGTGCAACCGTACATTTTCTTTTTAACATTCTGGAAAAGAAAAAAAAAATTAGGAACCAGAAATGAATTAGAAGTGACATCACCCTCCTGAATAGCTTTCCTCAATTTCATCAATTATATTATCAATAGGATTACTTATGCTCAAGGAGAATTATGATTCTGCATAAGATACTGGGTAAAATAGTCTCAGTAAGACAAAATCAGTACAGTTGTCTACACATTTATAACAAAGACATCAATCTTTCTTGTAAGGTCAGGGAAAAGGAAAACTTTCACCAGGTCCTCGCAAAACAAAGCTCTGCAATACTCTTCTCTTCATTAAGGCAATGGAGAATGGAGGACTTTTTCATAATTTGAAACTTTTAACATACTATTGGACTGAGAATCAAACTCCCATAGGTCAATCTCTTGACTGTTTCCCTTTTCTCCCACAGCTCCAGGCGGTATTTGCTGAGTGATCAGTAAGATGAGCCTGGGATGGTTTCTGCATACACATACTCAAATGTTTTTAAGACAAGTTAATGGAACTATGATCTACTAACAGCTAGTAAACATCACATTCCCATGCAAACTTTGGTTAATGAAATTTCCCCACAAAACTAATACAGGAATCAGAGGGATTTATAGAGGTGGAGATCATCAATCTAAATGTGTTTGTTTTTAACCAAACATTTTACTGAGTTGCTATTTTTACTGAGCATTTGCTACCAGTTCAGACAAAATCAGGGACTTAGTTGGCAAATGATTATTTTTAAGCTATAATGGAACTAACTTTCACAAAACCAAAAAATAATAGCAAAATAATTACAAGCAGGATCTCTCCCCTCCACACCAAACACTCCAGAAATCTTAACAGCAGAAATAAAACTCAGGGAACTCTCTTTTTGCTTCAAACTAACCTTTTCTAATGTACAAAGGTCCATTGGATGAAAGATATATTCTGCATAATCTGGGTGCTGATCCAGTGAAACTGGCTTTTGAAATGGCTCTGTCTGTTTGAGAAAAAAAAAAAGGCAAATTATCTATTAAAACTGAACTGTTTCACCAACCACATGGTATTCTTCTTCTAATACAACTTCCAATGGGTGTGTCAGAGGAAATTCTTTGTTAAGTTAATTAAAAATTTGGAAAACTAATACAAAAAAAAATGCAGGCAGAAAAAGAGAAACTAGATGGTGTCTTTTAACCAATTTAAATATATGGTGAAGGTAAGGAATTACAAATTTTGGCATTTTGTAAAATGATCTGGTGAGGACAGAGCATCAAATCACAGAATAGTTCAGGTTGGAAGGGACTGGCAGAGATCACCTGGGCCAGCCTCCCTGCCCAAGCTGGGTCAGGTAGAGCAGGTTTTCCAGGACTCCATAATCCCTCTGGGCAACTGCTCCAGTGTTCAGCTACCTGCAGTGGAGTCCCCTACTAGGGAAGAGGTGTTTTCTTTTGCTCAGGTGGAAATTCCTGTTTTGGCCTGTGTTCATCTCCTCTTGTCCCATCTCAGGGCACCCCTGAGAAGAGTCTGCATCTGTCTTCCTCACACAGATATTTATAAACATTGATAAGACGTCCCCTGAGCCTTCTCTTCACCAGACTAAATTGTCCCAGCTTTCTCAGCCTCTCCTCATATGACAGATGCTTCAGTCTCTTAATCATCTTCTTGCAGGAGAAAAAAAGATTTTAGCAGAAAGAAAATATCTTTTTGAATCTCTGATTAACTAGGCTCACAACACCTCTTTTTCAGACTCTCATTGGAATCATAACTTTCAGGACAATGGTGTTTGGCAACACAAATCCTGCCAACTTTTATCAGTGGGGCTCTTGGATTTTCTTTATTAATGTGAGGGGACTGCAGTTTTCTGAAGATAACCAATTAAAGTGCCCCGTAGAGGAAAAAAGTGGTTGTTAGTTTAGCACCTAAAGGAAAAAAAAAAAACCCTCAATAGCATTATACACATTATCTTTCTAATTGCATTTTCAAACACCTTGATTGCAAATTCAGTATAAACTAACACCAACTCTTTGTTTCTGAAAAACAGCACTTAAAATTTCTAATGGCTCCTTCCAATAGCACAGTGTTTACCATTCCAGAGTTAAAGGATTCCAAGAGCCAAAATTTATCAGTACTTAAGAGTATCCTTCTCTAAAACTGTCACTATTGTTCTGCTAAAATACTTATCATAGAGAGATCAGAATTGCAAAGAGGCCATGAGTCTGCACATCTGGTTTTCACAGATAGCTTTTACATAGCAGGCAGAAACTGCTTTTCCTCCCCTGGCCTGAACAAGAAGACAAATTAATAAGAGTTAGGAAAACTCTTGGCACTTCATCACAAGAACATCTCCCTTTGATTTACCTTTTCCTTCACATATGAAAACTAAACAAAACTTTCATAGTGAATAATGGGGGAAGGGAACATTAGAAATGCACACACATGGTGATTTTAAGGAATAAATCTAAGACAGATATGAGGAGAAACATAAAAGTCAGATGTAAAGCTTAAGCCAATTTTGCCTGCATGAAAAAAATTAAAATCATAGAACAGCCAACTCATACTGCATGAAAGCTGATGGCACAGGTCTTCAGCACATCAAGGATAATTTCTTCAGTTTCACAAATATATTTTACTTCTCAAGTGTATTGTAGCTTCTGTGCTAAACACAACTGCTACTGACAAACAGGAGTGAGGGTTTCAACTGGTATAACCACTGATACAGCAATCTGTGCACCTAATCTTCCTGGCCACGTAAGCAGACTGGCAAGAGTTCCTGTCTTTGCATTCCTGTTATGTCAACGCCCCTTGGATCAGGGAAATGGCCCTGTCCGCTCAATGTCACACTGGACAGGGCCAGCGCGTTTTCACTAGGCTCACTGATATATTGCCCAAGTCCTTCTTCGATTGCTCAGTTAATGCCAATAGCTGGTACAGGAACAATGTTCAATTCGGCTGCCTAGGATGGGAACCAACGTCACAGACATCCTGAGCAACCACAACAAATTACTTTATCTCTCAGTGGCAGTATTTCCAATCAGTAAAGGGAAGGACATGTAAGGAGATTTAAGATCAACCTACACTGTGAGGACAAATCAGTTCATTCTTTACAATTTAAGGGAAGGAGTGTAAGCAGAATAAATAGGCAGAGGAGTCATACTACTACTACAAAGATGAGCCAAGCCAGATCATAACATTTCTCCATAAAGTGCATGAAAAAATACATTTTAAATGCACTCCAGTTGAGTACATACAGTCTAAATTAATTGGTCTGTAACAGACAAATGGCAAGCAGCATAGCCTATAATCTATGAGGCTTTGAAAGCTGATAAAATAACATAGGATGATGATCCAGAAAGTAGAGCAAAAACCAGATGCAAAAAGGAAAAGGGGGGAGGTGGAGAAAAAGAGAAGAAAATACTCCTTACCCCTGGCTGTTTCATTTTCTGTAGTGCAAACTTCAGTAAATATGATAGCTGTTCAATGGTGAGCATTGTCATAGCTTTACTCTGTGTTTCTATGCATTCTGCTACAGTGATTTTCTAAAAAATAAAATCACAAAATATTTTATTATTAAACATTTCTTTTCCATTAAAATATTCCAGCATTATTCAAATGGATGTTAGTATCTATCATGTAAGAAATTCAACATATCTGAAGAACTTCTGCATCATCAGAAATGTGTTTTACTCAATTTCAATTCTGGTTGTCAGCCAAAATAAGAAATAAAAAAAAGAGAGAAAAAGAAAAGAAAAAGAAGAATTGCAATCATCTTCTTTCACACAAAATGAATGTGTGAAATACAAGAAAATCTTAAGTGCAATGAAGGCTGACAGCAGTACATTAAATGGGGGGGGAAGTGACTAAGCGATGTTACTTCCACTGAGGATATTATGATGCAAAGTATTCTTTCCCTCAAAATCACTGAAAATGAAAGGTTAAATTCTTCCTTATCCCTGAAAAAGAAATCCAGTAATAACAATATCCTCTTGTCTATGCAGACTGTACAGTGCACTTTTTTGTGCACTGATGCAGAGCTGATCAGTCCACTAAAAAAGCATAAACTAACATGAACTAAACTATTCAGAAGTACAGGATGTTTTCAGAAGTAGAGGTGCCTGACGAAGGGATGACCTGCTGGAAAGGTGCCTTCTTTAGAGATGGCAACGAAAAGGAATGTGAAGATTTACAGCAAGAAGACAAGCACAATGTGAGCAGACATGCACACACATGTGTGCACACACAGTAGGGATACAGCAACAGATGTTTCCTTTCTTGTACAAATCCTTTTTTTTTTTTTTGTTCCTTGTCGAAAGGCAATTATAAGAATAAAATAGAAAAATCTGGGAGTCTAAAAAAGCTGCTTAAATCTCATGAACAAAAAGGGAATTCCATTCCTTGTATCAAACTAACCTCACACTCTGGGCAAAACCAATCCCCCTCTGGTTCGGCTGTCAGTTTCAGACACTTAGCATGATAAACCCGAGGACAGAGTTCGCAGCAGAGGACTTGGCCTTCCCGATGACAAACCCAGCAATAGAAATCATTCCGTCCATCCTGTGGTACAACATCAACAGGGTCTGTGGTGAGTGGCTGCTTCATATAGTAAAACGGACCATGCCTTAGCTCTGACTGAAATGTAGGCAAGAAAAACAGGTTTGGTTTCAAAACAAATTTGCATTTTTCAAATAATAATATTCACAATATATACAGAAAAAGCAGTTTACAGAGCTTAATTAACATTTATGCAGGTACAATATATAGTATTTATTTCACAAAAATCACTCTCATATTTAGGTGCCCAAAACTGGCAAATTCAAGACTGAAAATAACATTATGCAAGTGAGTGCAAGGCATGTAAACAAACAAAATCAGTAGACGTTTTTATGTTCAAGCAAATACAGCATTCAGAGACTATAGGTCCTAAAATTCTTAATTCCACAAGGCTTTGCAAGCATAATATTGCAAAATATTTTGTGGTGGCTAAACCTGAGATAACTGAAGAAGCTAGTCAGTCTTCAAATGAGAAATTGAATACCTAGAACCTAGAACAGCAGTAATTTAGAATCTTCTACATTTAGGAAAGTGCCAATTTTGGTCGATAAAGCAATTTGTGACACAAATAGGATGACACAACAGCAGATTAAAATCCTGTTCTGCCACAGAAACACGAACTCTTGAAGAGATTTAATCCACATACAAATATATATTGAAATTTAAGATGTTCAGTTTTCACAGGACATAAAACTGACCAGAAACCACTATCCACTAGTTACAAAGGAAAAGGCCTTTCAGAAGGAAGGTTCTGTAAGATCCTGTGCAATCAGCTGGACAGCTTAAGGCCACATTTCAAATTTATTACTATGCCAGTCATTAAAACCTAGATACAAAAGCACAATTAAACCCCAGGTAGAGAATGGAAGGTTGCAGTTTACAGTGGTTTTGCTTGCAGTTACATGCACCACAGGTGTGAAATCAGTATCTCAGTGGGATGTACTTAGTGGTGCAGCAATGGGGAACAGTAATTTGCTTTGTCTGCAGTTCACCAAAAAGGGAATTTAATATTTATTCTGACTTTGATGTGGGTATGAAATTTATAAAATCAAAGATCTTGTTTTAAAACAAATATACTATAAATCTACGACACAGAAATGAGCATCATTATTTCTAAGTAGACTAAAGGAGAGAGGAATTCATTTTCAGTTTGAGGATGCTCACATCTCTTAAACATCTATCACCTTAATTCATCTGAGACTGGTTTAAGGACAAAAAAAAGGGTTAGAAGTAAGATTCAAGACACAAACAATAAAATCGAAGGACTAAAAATGAATGACTCAGCTGCATGAAAAGACTTTTTCACTTGTTCTAGTCAGAGTAAAGTGTTTGGAGAGCTTAGAAGTTAGGATCTCAAATTAAGAGTCAGATTTTCCTAACTCTTAACCTGTTTTAGCAAAATTCTTCAATCACTAACTCTTCACTTTCTAAACACTTTAAATATCTGTTGGCACCACTCTGAAGATGTACCATTGCATCCATAAAATGTAATATCATGAAACTATAATTTTGACTGTAGCCTGAAATACTCAGAATTAGAATATTAAGGTGAAGATTTCTAGTGCTCTTGATGTTTTAGTGATCCACCTCAAAGGATTTACTGGCCTATGAGAATCACAGCTGACAGCTCCATTAGATCAGAAGTCTAACTTAACAGCAAAGCCACTCTGCTTTGCTCACATCTGTTCAGTAGTAAAAGAGTCTGTCCACAGCAGCCTGTCTTAGTCTTTACAGCAACTTCAAGTACCACAAAGAACAGCGTTCTGTCTCCAGGTATGCTCATTTCAGGCATGCAGACTAAACATGCAAGAGGATACATAAATTAAAAGCAACTGGTAAGCTAGACAAAACAAAACACAATATGCTTTACTGCTAACCTATATAAAAAAAGAAATACGTCTGTGTTTTTTTGTCATTAAATACACTATTTCAATCTATCCTATACTATTTCAAATATGAGATACCTGGAAAACAGAAAAGGATTTACTGAAGGGAATGGATTAATCTTCAACACCTCCAACTGTGTTTTCACATAAATTTTTAAATACCTATAGTATATATATATGTTCATAAAATTGTTTCTACACTGCACAGGTAGAAGCTCAGACTTCCAGCAGGGCAACATCCTCACAGTGAACACCCTTCACCCAGGTGAAGGGTTTATGCAGCCTGCAATGAAGCTCAGTAAAATCTGGCCCTATTGAACTAGTTCACTGCACACACTAGACCTCTCAATTATCCTTAAATAAAACTCTTGACACTGATCTTCCACATGTGATCTTCCACAGGCTTTCTTCCAGAATAACTGTAGTAATTAAGAATCTCATTTTGGTTTTCTAACCAGTGCAACTCTATTCTAGTAACATTTAACATGGAAACTATTATACTGAGAATAGGTGCCTTCAATCTGGAGCGTTTAATTCTGTGTCTATATGACACTTGCAAAATGCATTGCTTTAGCACACAGAAGTGCTTCAA